TGTGTGTGTGTGTGTGTGTATTCATCAAACAATTAGTTACTTCCCTTAATATTCTCTTTAATTCTCTGTATTGTGTGTTAATCCTTCTAAGACAACAGATCTTTTTGGACAGCCGTCATATAGTTGTATACAAACTGGAGAATGCTGCACATTAAGGGATCTTGTGTCACCGTTCTGGAGTTGAAGATGTTTGACACCGTAGCTGAAGTGATTAGCTGATTAACTGATCAGTTAAAATAATAAATTAACTGCCTGTCAAAGTCTAACCATGCTGCAAACTGAATATCCAGGAGTTCTTGACTTAAGACATTTGCAGATTTATCAATAATGACACTAATCATTAGTTGAGTTCACAAGAGGCTTTATATCCCATCACCAGTATTTGCTCTAATGAATCAGTAAAGCCTGACCTGAGCTATATCACAGTCAGGATTGCTGGCAGCTTTGTATTATGCAGTAATTGTGGAGATAGTCAAGCCAGCACCGATCCTTGGCATCAACCCTCAGCCATTGTAGAAGCTCTCCCATAGATGAGATCCCTCAAGTCTGAGTGTGTTTCTTTCCCTCAGCTGACCCGAAGCTCCGCATGATTTCATGTTTTGTCCGTCGCCAGTCTCGGCCCTTGTCTTGGCATTTCGAGGGAAAACAGTCATTTAGCCAAGCTGATAATTTCTCTAACGACGGCCTTTTCCCTTCACCTACTTGATTATAGGTTTACGCGAGCCCCGTCCATGTGGTCTGCAGCAAAGAGCAGCGTGACTCAAACGATAATGTCAAGCTCTTGTGGAGTTAATGGCTACCTGCCTCGGAGAAGCGGAGCAGTGCCAGTTGTGTGTCCGCTCAGAAAGATTTATACGTAATCTTTGTAAATATGGCAAGATTACAGTGTACACTGAGCTGGCAAGTGTGGACACATTAGACAAATAGAGCCCTGCCTCACGTCTCGTTGCCACATACGTGGCAGCGGGGGGGCATTAGAGACGGCGTCTGCCAGCGGATATTTCAAGTGAGGCTATTTGACGTGGAGAGCGGTGTTTGTTGTTGCAGGAGTGGCTCCTTTGGTCCACAGGTGGTGCTTTGATTCCAGTAGCCTCAGGTGAAGCATCACACTGTGGACGTAGCTGGTTCTCCGTTCCTCTCAATGGGATCCTCCGATGGTGAAAACCCTCCGTTCATCCTGACTGCAGGGCCGGGCCTGACGCACTCGCTTACTTGAAAGCGCCAGTGTTTTCCAGCATTTAGTGTTCAGCTAAAATGTGAGACTCTCTTGTAGTTGCACAGGAAATAATGAAGCCAAAACAAACTTGGCTTCTCAAAAGCTCATTGGCAGTAAAATTCCAACCGACTCCTGTGGTCTCAGCACTGAAATCACATTATTTCATGTTGGGGTTCGAACCTGTGATGCCAGAATAAAGCCTGACTGATACGGATTTTAAAATTCCACAAACGTCTGTCTGTCTTGTGAGTGATTCTTCAGATGTTATTGTACAGGTCATGTTATCATAATGTTTATTTACATATGATATGTCAAGGTTGTGTAATTTCTATATTGGTAAACCATGTAAATGGAAAATTCCGATTTTTCTTTCCCTCTCTTAAATTTCTATGTTGTGATGGTTGGAACTAGTTTATCTTGTCGCTCTCAGTCTCATCTCACTGAGTCTCTTGTTTTTCACTCGACTGCTCCAACTTCTATACAAGTCCTGCTTCTCTCTCTCCTGCTTTCACCACTACATCGTTACCATGATGTGTGCACTCAGGTCCAACTGAATGTCTAATCTTAGCCGGTGTTGTGTACAAGTGGAAAAGCGTCCACAGCATCCTTCCTACTTAGATCCTTGTCGGCTGCACATGTTTGCGTGGAGCGCAGCTCTTCTTGAGCTGGAGGGACGGAAGGTCGCATTACTAAGAGGTTGATCCTTATTGATTTGCACTGAGCCCTGCTGCGCTCGCTCGTTCTGTACAGCGTAGTACTTCTGACGTAAAATGATTTGAACAAAATCTCATCTAAACATGCAACAAGTTGAATCACTTTTAAATCTACCAAACTAAAAAGTCAAAGTACAAATCAAATCACATTGTTGTTTGGTTTTAATTCGTTGTTTGATGCTATTAAAACATGGCTGAGCATCATGATTGACAGCTGAGACGGACTCGGAATTGGTTACATCTCGAAATTGAATGTTTTGTCAGGAACCCTCAGATACTCAGTTTATAATGCTATAAACAGAAACATCTATAAATCATTACTTTTTGAGATGGTGGACGTTTGGAATTTTTCTTTCTGTTGACCATTTAATGAATTGAAGTGATTCATCGTCCCACAGTGAGTCTTGTACTTGAGTTAAGTGAAGAGCTGGTCTCTGCAGCTGAGACTCCCTCATAAATGTTATTCTTTATTAATTGTCATTAACTGCATGTGGCACAGTAATAGCATGTTTTTCATGGGCTACTATTATATGAACATAACATCATAAGATTAACTGTGACGTAATATAAATCTATTTATGTAGATTTTATACTATGGCTGGATTTTATGTCTGATTTTATTGTGTATCATTGAATATTCAGTCAGTCTCATATTTATCACATCAGGGGACAATGTGAGGATTTCCTCTCGTCAGTGAAGAGACATCAGTGAATCCGTCATGTTCTCATGTTAAGTTTACAGATGTGTTCTTTGTGTTGCAGTGTTTTCTGTCTAGACATCAATGCAGCAGTGATCAAGGGGCACAAGCGTCTCACACACAGACGCCACTGCAGCCGTGCATGAGGGAACCAAGGTTGTTTCAGTGCATTGCAGGTTGCACACAGAAAACGCTCACATGTGCTTTCCGCCATTGTGTCTTCCTGCAGCAGCAGTTGTGAACGCTGACCTTGGAGAGGGTTCTGCCCGGCCCACCCCACGACAGCTCTTTTATGAATGGGCAGGTACCTGAGCGGCATGCTGATGAGGCAGGAGGCGGGGAGAGAGAGGGAAGGAAGGAGCATGGCAGGCGCTTCCATGTTGCTTTAACAGTGAAGCGCTGCACGGAGAGCAGATGAGATAAGTGCAGGAGGAGGGAGGGAAACCGCGCCAGGCAGAAGGGGTTAAAGTGGGTTACCCAATTAATAGGCCTAATTTAACCTCTGTGGCATTTCCATTATAGATGACATGCAGAGTAATTTCTCTGACATATAACTGGGTTGTCAATCAGTGGTGAATCGGAGCAGCAGCATCTCGATTCCATTTAGGACGCATGATTTTTAATTGAGGTTCATCGATGAAAAATCTAGCTCATCCATACGTACACACCGAACCACGTTTTCTATCTGAACAACCTTCAACCATGAAACAACATCGCACAAAAATACAGCCGGTACGACAAGATATGATAATCATGGCTACTTCTTGCACCGTCCACATATAACACCACATCATTTCCAATCAAGGTGAGCACTTAATCCGTCTCTGTATCCTCGCACATCCATTTGTACCTATTGAATATTAAGGATCCTGTGTCGCTCCATGTCTGCACGGGTTTGGTGC